GGCTTGTTTTACAACGTCGTTGCCAAGCGACGAAAACCCAACCCCGATGGCAAACACCGGGGTTGATGATGGGATGATGGGTTCCCTTTTTTCTACCTCTCTCCCTCCGTCATGCATGGGTGATCTACCGAAGAATTAACTTGTGGTTGCCCCCCCCCCCCTCCCTCCGTCGTTTGTGGGTGATCTAGAGAGGAATTAACATGTGGTTTGGGGTTCCCCCCCCCCCCAAGGCCGAAAGCACTTCGAAGTGCGGGTGGGCGGGAAGAGATGGCTTTGCTGTTTCTACCTCTCCATGTCAGACATGGGTGAACTACTGAATCATTTCCTGTGTGCCCGAAATTGTTGAAAGGCAAATCGGTCGTATTTTTCCTATCCAAAGGGTACTACAGACGTGGCTGCTGCTTGGAAGATCGCACCTGGTGTATGCGCTTGTGGTTCCAACAGTTTATTCGTTTTTTTTTCTTGTTTATTAAACCTATTGTTTAGAAAATCTACAGAAAAACACGAAAAAACGACTGCACTCGTTCGAGATATGCCCAGAGTCGAAGGGCTCAAGAATTGTCAGTGGGTGTTGGCTTGACTTGTTCCTCTCGGTCTGGGGCGATTCCCATGTATCGGTTTCGGGCACGGAAGCAGACATCAAGCGACAGCGAAGCGGCGCAACTGTCCGAGGCGGTGAAACGGCAAGCCCTCGAGATAAGCCGAAGGGACGCGCAGATCGAGAAGCTCGAGAGGTCTCTCCTCTCGCTGGTACGTGTTACCTACCGCAGATGATATGGCGCAAGATACCATACCCCCTCGACTGATTTTTCAGGCGGACTACTCTGAAGCAAAGGCGGTAGCGGTGCCGACTATGGCGGCCTTGGAACCGTTTTGTCGAGAGCTTTCCGAAAACGTAGTGTTTGATTTTGGCATCCTCTTGGTGGTGGAGTAATCGAGCTTTGGAAATCGGTCCAGAGGGTGTGATATCTTATGCAACGTACCCGAAGTGTTTCGGAGGTGGGAGAGGAGAGAGCTTAAGTTGGTTCCGACCGATGTACGACGTAGATGCGGTAGAGAGCAAGGCGCCCCAAGTGTCGAAGAGTAGATGAAAGCGTGGAAATCGACACCAACATTGAAAGTTAAAGCATGGACGAAGAGATGTATTGGAAAGGCAAGGGTTGATTAGCGGGAACAGTGCGCCTAGACGAGTTTTCAGTGCCTTCGTTCCCAAACAGGCATACATCTGATGCATGACGCCGAAGTTTGCCTATCCTTCAACACGTTGTCAACCGAAAATTTAACCTAGCCTGCGAGTGTTGCTCTACTATGTAGTCTTTGCGGTTTCACACGCCGAGAATGAGTCGTAGACTAATATATCTCGGCCAACCTTGATGTGAAGTTTGTGAACCACTAAGAACCAACACCATCTGGAATTGTTCGGAAAGCAGGTGCCGTTGGTGATACGTTGGTGATGAAAGAAATCTCCTCGATTTGCCATGCTTGGCAGCGTTTTTGGTTTCGGGTGTTGGTGACACTGACTGTATATAGTTGTCGTTGCCTGTAGGTTGCGGCATTCTCACATCTCACACCAGACGTCAAACTATTTCGTGGTGGCAAGTCTCCCCTCGCACAACCTCCATACCGAAACACCGCAACTCATAGGGCGGAAACGACGCCACGTTCACCGAGAGAGGAGGGGCGGGGGCAGGGGACCCAACAGCCGCAGAAGCGGGCACGGATTCCGCATCGTCAGCCACAGCTGCAGCAGCAGCCGTGGCGACACCTGGCGGCGGGGCAGCGGCTTCACCCCCATCATCCTCATCGGATGGTACAACTCGGTCTTCCGCCTCTGCTAGCGCTGGTGATGCTGATGCTGGTGGGTTAGGTTTGCGTTCTTCTTTCGAACGTACGGGGGTGGGGTTGGAGACCTTCGTGATTGATCACGAGGGCGAGAGGGGTGTACTGATACTCATAGTCGTGCATGCCGTATTCGTTAGACCATTGACCTTGCATCCCTACGAAGCCGGGAGGGAGCACGCCGGGTTCTCACCGGACCAGGCTCTCACACCACCAAGCGCGAAGCGCCGTGAGGTAATCTGTCAGGGGAGGGTGCGCTAGGGCGAGAGGGGGGAGTTAAAACGTTGGTGGTGGAGGAATCAGTTTTTCAGGCTCTTGCGCTTCATCTCAACCAAGCATGCTCATCGATTCTTAACGCCGGGTTGTTGCTGCTCCCTCGCGAACAGTTTGCACCTACAGTATCGAGAGCAAGATCTTCCGTCGTTTCCACCCCCCCCCCCCCCCC